GTCGATTTCGCGGATCCCGATACGCACCGCCGCTACGACCGTCCGCTACTGCTACTGGTCCGCTACTGGCGCGGTGCGCGATTGTAACCGGCGTTCGACACCGGTTCCGGGTAGTGGTAGTGGTAGTGTGGTCATCGGTGCAGTGCACCGCACCTCCTGCGCATCGGTCCGTCGTACACCGGTTGTTCGTTTATTGTTCGCTTTCGTGCGATTCGCGAGGTCGTCATCGTTTCGTCCGGTATTCGTAGTAACAATAATAGTTTGTGTTAACCGTTGTTCGCTCCTACTCCGGCCGACGAGAGTTTCACGCGCAGCCGTACGATAGCCGTTCGTCGTGCAGGTAAGCCGTTCACTTTTCGTTCCGTCCGTATTCGAGTTTCCCCCCCCCCCCCCCCGTTGCACGTTTTAATGACAATTGCTTTCGTCCCCGTTTTACCGTCGCCCATTCATAACGCGCGCCGAACCGACCTTGATCACGCTCGGACGCGCGCGTAGGTTTGCACCGTTTTCACGTTCCCTCCCGGCGGTCAACACTCGTCAAACACTCGTCAACATCACGTCGTCTTCCCGTCCACCGAGACGCGTCGCGAACGTCGTCTAGGTCGTCATTTAACAGCGACACGTCGTCACCTGTTAAGACTGTTGGCCGTCCGTGCTGCCGCGGTGGACGGCGCCGTGTACGACCGTCGCGTAGGTAAAAATAACTAATTTTTATTCGTTCGGATCTGTTGTGGTAAACAATTTTTTTTTTTTTTTTACCACGCACCTATCAATTATACGTCCGACAAGCCGATCAACGTTTAACGCCTTCTTTTTAGCTCGACGTTATATTTTTACGCGAGTATTTTTTTTTTACGTTCACGTCGAACCGCGTGTACAGTATCGCGTAAAACGTTGATTTGAATACCGGATATTTTCATGGACATTTTTTACGTGATCGTAAACGCATGGATTCTTATGCGGTTGATATTTTTCTCGGCAAAAATGTTTTCGACGTTCACCTTGTAACCCTTATGCTTTGTTTACACGTGACGAGTACTCGGCCGTGTCACTCGTTATGTAGTTCGGTTTAATACCGAAATTAACCGAGTCAGCGTTTACACGTATTTTATTTGCTTGGCCGAGTGACGCATAAGTTCACTACACGATCTACTCGGTTGGCGGTTTATATAACGCCGAGTACAGTTAATTTTGGTAGTGACGGTAGTCGCTCGGCCGAGTGAATGGAAAGGGTTTCTATTCACTCGCTCGATCATTTTACTAGGCCGAGCACTGGTTCCTTGAGTTCACACGGGACAGTGCTCGGTCGAGTCGACTCTCTCGGCCGAGTACTCGTCACGTGTAAACAAGGCATTATGATTGGAGTGTTGTAATCTCCGTGGCGATCAGTAATGGCCACTTTTAGCTTGGCCGACGCAAAAACAAAGCTATAAGAGAGGCGAAACTCTAAACGACTCAATTGTCTCTTAAAAACCCTACACTTATTTAGACATAAGTACGGTTAGATTAGCGAATGTTTTTCCCGATATTTCGGGTTAGCCAATGACGGGTGTTGAGTATTTTAGAATAAAGATGTGTAATATATACAATAGTGAATAGTGTTTAATAAATAAATACATAAATATACTACGAAATTATGTTAAAATTATTTAATTATAGTTATTACAACTAATTTAATAAATATACATACGTAAATATATTATGGAATATGTGTTTATTATTGACATTTTGTAAACAATAAAGTTGTATATAAAGCTAATACAAATTTAATGTTTAGCTTTAGTCTTTAATTTAATAAAAAAAACGAACAATAAATATTAGTGTATATATGATATACTATGTTTATACCAATAAATTTATTATACGAGTATATTAGAAATTATATCGTATGAAGTCATTTGGTACCTATAATTATTAAGATACGTGTCAATTATTCATTTGTTATCAATTTTTTTTTTAATCAACCTATTGATTGTGAAAATTAATTAGTGGAACAAATAGTTAATGATAAACGACTTAAAAATATAAATTAATTAATTTGATATTAATGGAATAATTCTCAAATATTTGTTTCTGTATCGTTGTCATTACTATATGTATATATATATATATATATATATACATATATAAATTTGAATACACGATAATTGGACAGAAATATTTTTTCAACTAATACAATATTTACGTTATTTTTATCCAGTGACAATAGTTTCTCGACCAATCCTATTTATTATATTTATCATGAAAGGATAGTATTTTGTAGTGAACCGGACAAAATTTATTATAAGAATATACCGTTATTTAAAAAATTCCTAGCTCCCAAATTGCTTCTAGATGTCATTTAAACTTATTTGTATTTTATATTTTTAATTATACAATTTTAAAAATGCTAGTCCGATACATTTATGATGACTGTTTTAAATATTAATTTTCAAGAATAATAATATTAAAACTAAAATAGGTGATTTTTGAAATAATTTATTAAATTCATTTATTTATTAAATAAGAATTTGTAAATAGTAAGAGTTGAAATACATTTTAGTCGTCAACATTTTTACTTAGATTATTTCAATATTATTAGCTGTACAAAAAAATTTAGTTGTACAGAAGTTTATTATACCAATTTGCGAAGATGACTTCTCCTCATTAGTTAATAAGTGACATTTACAGGAGATACATTTTTTAAACACAACAAATGAAGACAATGAAGTCAAATAATACCAACTGAAATAGCGTATAAATAAACAGAATACATGACTGAGTCATGTATTTAGTATCTAATTTCATGTTTTTATCGGTGTTATCTGTTTTGTGTTATAATTTGCGTGCGATGCATATGGTGTAACCGTGGCTGCGGTTATGGTTGGCGTGGAGGTATACCTTCATGTGCGATCAATCAGCTGTGCAATCGCGCTGTCATTATCAAGCGTAAATGTTTGTTATTCCGTGTTTTCAGTCTCTGTCGGTCATGATGTACGTAAAATCTTAAAGGTTCTCGTTACCACGAGTTTTTTAAAGTTCCTTTGTTTTCAGTTTTAGTGCGGTGGCACCGAGACGATTTTATCGGAATAATGGTGTCCGGCGGCCGTAACTTTCGTTGCAAATGTCTTTGGCACCATCGCTCTGTTTGTGTTCATCGATGTGTATACATCGATATTAGTTTTCTTGAATTTCGTTTTCGATTCCGTCTTGTCCGAAACCACGTTTTTCCATCCATGCGTTGTGTTTTGTCTGCCGTCTGGTAAGTGACGTTCAGTAACTTAAAGTCACTCGTATACTTTAGTTAATATCGTTCCACATTGGTCTCTTCCCGGCAGCATTTGTTATTAGCGTGGTTTTTCATCGTCGTTTCGTATTTTGCAGTGACGGGACTTGTGAGTTTATCGTCAACAACTGTCGACTTACGATCGTGTTTGTGCGGGTTAGGTTTTGTGCTTTTTATTTTATTAGTTTTATTAATTACAGGCCCCGGTACACGAGGTGTGCCGGGAGTTGTAAGAGAGGAGACAACATTATTGTTAGTTGTATCAGTTTAATGTAAAGGTCGACGGACCTAAGTTATAGAGTATTTATTTATTATTTATATCATATTCAGTGTGTGCCATGTGGACCAACCATTTTATTATTATATATATATATATATATATATATATTGTAATATAATTAGTTATGCCGCTGTAGGGCCAACGTTGATTATTTATTTATTGTGCTCATTTAGGTTACTTATTTATTTTATATTGATTTATATATTTTGTTATTATACAGTCCATTTATTAACAATTTATTATTTGATTTTTTATATCTATTATTTTGGTGAAAGAGAAAGTCTCTTATTATTAGAGACACTCTGTGCATTGACAATGTCTAAAAGGATAAAATTTATTTAGAATCGGATATTTTCAGTTTTTACGTCATATTGTATACATTTGTTATATTATTCTTGTAGTTTACGTTTGGTGGTTATTTAAAAAAATTAATATTACATAGAAAAAATAACTAAAATATATCTGTGTATTAATTATTTATAAATATGTATCCATCATTATACATTAATTTGATGTTTTTTTTTTTACTAGTAATTAATTGTAAGTAATGTGTATTTTTATTAAAATGTATTATACGATTTCCCTTTTGAGAGCGCCTGAACAAAATTTTACTGTAGGTACCTTTCTTAATTTTAAATCATACTTTAGTTTTGACGTATTATTTCTTAGTTTTGTACACATTTTGTCTCTTGTAATAAAAGCTATATCGATTTACGTATATATTTTTGAATCAATCGTATTAAATTCAACAACACATTTTCCACAATAACAATGTAGGGGTATACCATAAGACAGATAACAATCTTAGTTAATTTTATCTTATCAAATACATTGTATATACCTACGGGTTTTATATGTTTTATATAATGATAAGTAATAATAAACAAATTTAGATTACACATAATTTAGTATATTTTGTAGTACGCTAACAATAATTTAACGTGTTTATTCACTCAGTATTAATTTCGCATGATACTTTGTTCATTTATCATATATCAAATGTGTAAATAATAATTCGAATAATTCGTAAATCAATGATTCTGTTATAGTTAACCAAAGCTCACATTTAATTTTGTATAGTTAATAATTGAATAAGTACACAAGTTCCATACATTTTAAATCTATGGTTTGATATTACATTAATTGAAAACGGTATGTATGTTGTGTAACACGAACAACGATAAAAATAAATAAATATAGATGATCTTTATAAAAATATTCGTAAATTAAAATAAAATAATATATTAATATATTAAAAAAAATATAAGTAAAGTGTCATTCTTTTTAACGTTTTCAATTTGTTTTTTTTTTTTTTGTCACTCAGACTAATGAAAAATATTTTGATACATAAATTGTAATGTAGGTCATACGCAAGTATTATTTTCCTAAAACGAATTACGTATATTTATTATTATACATAGGTATACATACTTATACTGTTTATAAAGAGTGATTTTTTGACATGGTACACATATGTAACATACACGATAATTATCACTTATATTAAAAATTAATTTACCTACACAGAATCATTGAAGCTGTAAGTCGTAAATTTAATATTGGGGGTACAATTTTATTATAATATATCCATAAAAATTTATAATTTGCATTTTGATTTTGAAATTTTTTGATTTGCAATTTGTGTTTTTTGTCTTCAAATAAACATATACTGTAAGAAAAACAACCTATAAGATTTAATAATATTTTCTAGTTTTAACAAATATTCAATAAATAATCTCAAAAGTTATTACGGGTGTAAGTAGCCATACTCTTCCCATATACTTAAAGTATAAAG